AAGTTCAGTTTAATAATAAATAATGTAGCCTACCAAATACCCTGTATATGATGGAACTAATTCCCAACGCATGCGCTCGCTGAGCATCTGATACACATCTGAAAAAAAAAAAAAAAAAAAAATTACCTGAATAATAAGAGACAGAATAAACATATTTTGTATACAGGCACATAATATGGCTAAATTATTCATGTAGCAAGAAATGGTTCAGGTGTTTTTTATCGAAAGATGATGTTTACAGCAAGGTTATAACGTTTCCGAAGTAAATTGTACCGTGTGCAAAATCAATTTTATCGTGCTCAAAGTTATTTGTATCGTCTGCAAAATTAATTGTATCGGATGCAAAATTAGTTGAATCGTGTGCAAAATTATTTGTATCGTCTGTAAAATTGATTATACTGCGTGTAAAGCTCGTTGTATCGTGTGTAAAGCTAGTTGTATCGTGTGCAAAGTTAGTTGTGTGGCGTGCAAAATTAATTGTATCGCGTACAAAGTTAGTTGTATCGTGTGTAAAGTTAGTTGTACCGTGCGCAAAGTTAGTTGTATCGCGTGAAAAGTTAGTTGTATCGCGTGCAAAGTTAATTGTATCGCGTGCAAAGTTAGTTGTATCGTGTGCAAAGTTAGTTGTGTCGTGTGCAAAGTTAGTTGTATCGTGTGAAAAGTTAATTGTACCGTGTGCAAAAACTAATTTTATCGAAAACGTATTTGTATCGTGTGCAAAGTTAGTTGTATCGTGTGCACAGTTAATTGTGTGGCGTGCAAAATTAATTGTATCGCGGGCAAAGTTAGTTGTATCGTGTGCAAAGTTAGTTGTATCGTGTGCAAAGTTAGTTGTACCACGTGACAAGTTAGTTGTATCGCAGGCAAAGTTAATTGTATCGCGTGCAAAGTTAGTTGTATCGTGTGCAAAATTAATTGTATCGCGTGCAAAGTTAGTTGTACCGTGTGCACAATTAATTTTATCGCGTGCAAAGTTAGTTGTATCGTGTGCAAAGTTTGTTTTATCGCGTGCAAAGCTTGTTGTATTGCGTGCAAAGTTGATTGTATCGTGTGCACAGTTAGTTGTATCATGTGCAAAGTTAGTTGTATGTGTGCAAAGTTAATTGTATCGTGTGCAAAGTTAGTTGTATAGTGTGTAAAGTTAATTGTATCGTGTGCAAAGTTAATTGTATCGTGTGCAAAGTTAATTGTATCGTTTGCAAAGCTAGTTGTATCGTGTGCAAAGTTTATTGTATCGTGTTCAAAGTTAATTGTATCGTTTGCAAAGCTAGTTATATCGACTGAAAAATAAGTCGTGTACAAAGTAACTTGCATAGTGTACAAACGTAAGTTGCGTCATCTGCAAGGTTAGCTGTACTTGTATCTTGAACTCGTCAATAATTGACTGCGAATCAGCCTCATCCACGTCACGTACCTGAGAGTAAGCACTGTGTTTGGCGTCAATAGCAAGAATCCAAGGAACATAATTAGAAAGAAAAACACGCAAAATACAGGAAGTTGCCAGCAATCCGTTGGACAAGGGTCACTTCGTGCGTCCTCTGTTGCTGGGTCTGTGTCGATGCAACTACAGTTAGAGTATATCTGAAACGAATCGTAAGTCTTATTCAATTTTGGTATTTTTCTAATAATTGTATATCAAGTATAAATAATATTTGATTTGAATGAGATTTATTTAATTAAGATGTAAACCTACTCACAATTAAAACACAAAACGTTTATCCACGCTGCAATAAATTGAACTTAATAGTCTATTTTTGAGAAAATGGTGCAATTTTGTTGACTGTGTGTTTTATAAAATTGTTCAAAACATAGGAAATTTTGAAAAAAATATTAGCCCACATTCTGAATCATGCAATTTTTCAAAACACTAATGAAAACTTTTTCATGTTGCCATGAACATAGGATTTATGACCAACTCTTTTATAATTTATGAGTAGGCATCTACCTTAAGTTTGAATGTCTCTTGATAAGACACCGGAATCATATTCTTAGATATCTTTGCATCAGAGAATGGACTGTAAATCAGTCTCTATAACAACAAATATTCAGACTTACTTTTTCTTCAGCGTCTGTTTCCAGGCACCCAGCATAGCACGCGTCAAAATAAACAAGTCCATTACTGCCACACACAGGTGAGTAAGTCTCCGTTCCAGCACAGTTACAGTGATCATTACACGGGTGGGTTAAGTTAACTGGTTCAGGGGTGTTCGTACTGGAGACAATAACAACAATCGCGAGGCATCAAGAAATTGCAAAAAATACTGTAAATGTAGGTTTTTTTGTATATAAATACACTTCGGTTGGCGCTATACTATTGTTGAAACATGGGATATATATAACTGCGAAAACCTATAGCAAGTTCATATTCATGCATTGGAGCGATGGGTTTGGACTCGAACCATTACTCGCGGCACGAATTTGTTTGACCAATAAATTGGGTACCCTGCCTACTCAATCATTCTGACATCCACCAAATGAAATGCCAGTTTTGTCGATCTAATATTTGCCCAATAATTCAACAATTATGA